GAACTTCATGTACTTTATTGAATAGATATGGAAAGAGTGGGCATTTTTGTCTTGTTCTTGATTTTAGTGGAATTGTTTTGAGTTTCTCTCTGTTTAATTTGATGTTACCTATAGGCTTTCTGCAAATTTTCTGTATTATATTTAGGTATTTTCTTTGTATCCTTAATATTTCCAAGACTTTTATCATGAATTGATGTTTAATTTTGTCAGACGCTTGTTCAGTGTCTAATGAGATAATTATGTGGCTTTTTTTCCCTGTTTTTAATATGGTGGATTATATTTTCCATTTTTCATCTCTGGAGTAAAGCTTACCTGAACATTGTGTGTGATCTTTTTGATCTGTTCTTTGATTCAGTTTGCAAAATATTTTATTTAGTATTTTTCCGTCTATGTTCATGAGGGAAGTTGGTCTGTAATATTCTTTGTTGACTCATTATGTGCTTTGGGTATCAAGGTAACTGTGGCCTCATAAAATGAATTGCATAATGTTCCTACTTTTTCTATTTTTAGAATACTTTCAACAGTATTGGCTTTAAGTCTTCTTTGAAAGTCTTGTTGAATTCTGCACTAAAACTATTCAAGCCAATAATTAATTAATTAAAGTTGGGAGTCTTGTAATGAATTTGTCTATTTCACTCGGGATTAGAGGTCTACTTAAATTTTTTTATCTGACCATGATTAACATTATTAATTGGTACCTATCAAGTAAATTACCCATTTCTTTTAGATTTCCAATTTGGTGGAGTATAGGTTTTTAAAGGTTGTCTTTATGATTCTGGGGAATTTTTAGTTGTCTGTTTTATGTCCTGCTTTTTGTTTCTGATTTTTTGATTTGCATATTCTTTCTCTGTCTTTAAGTTAGTTTAGATAGTTTGTCTATTTTACTGATTTTTCTCAAAGAATCAACTGTGTGTTTTCTTTGTATTCTCTTAGTTTCTGTTTTATTGATTTCATTCCTCACTCAATAGTTTCTTACTGTCTACTCCTTTTAGTTGTGCTTACTTCTTTTTGCTCTATAGCTTTTAGTTGTGCTGTTAGGTTGCTAGTAAGAGATCTCTCCAATTTTTTATGTGTGCACTTAGTGCTATGAACTGTTCTCTTAACATTTTCATTGTGTCCCATGAGTTTGGATATGTTGTGTACTCATTTTCATTGAATTCTAGAAAATCTTTAATTTTTTTCTTTTTTTCTTGACCTATTTTTCATTGAGTAGAGAGTCGTTCAGTTTCCATGAGTTTTTAAGCTTTCTGATGTTTCTGTTGTTGATGTTGTGCTGCTTTGATCCATGGTGGTCTGAAAGGGTGCAGGGGTTATTTCAGTTTTCTTATATCTGTTGAGACTTGCACCATTCAAGTATATAAATTTTGGAGGAAGTTCCACCACTTGTGTTTGCGTGGAATGTTCTATAAATATTAGTTAGGTTCATTTGTTTTTTAACATCAGTTAGCTGGAGCATTTCTCTGTTTAGTGTTTGTCTGGAGGACCTGTCCACTGGTGAGAGTGAGATGTTGATATCTCCCACTGTCAGTGTGTGAGGTTCAATGTGTGATTTAAGCCGCAGAAGTGTTTCTTTTACAGTGGTGGCTGTTCTTAGTTTGTGGCACAGATGTTAAGAATTGAACCATTATCTTGTTGGAAGTTTTTGTTTGTTTATTTGTTTTCTTTTTTTTTTTTTTTTTTTTTTTTTGGTGAGTATCTAGTGTCCTTCCCCACATTTTTTGATTTTTTTTGTTTGAAGTCTATTTTGTTGGATATTAAAATGGCTACTGCAGCATGATTCTTAGATCTCTTTGCTTGGAATATCTTTTTTCAACCCTTTACTTTGAGGTAATGTCTATCCTTGATGTTTAGCTGTGTTTCTTGTTTGTAGCAGAATGATGGATTCTGTTTCTACATCTGTTCTGTTAATCTGTGTCTTTTTATTGGTGACTTGAGGTCATTGATATTGAGAGATATCAATGAACAGTGATTGTTAATTTCTTGTATTTGTTTGTGATTGTGTGTGAGTATGTGTTTGTGCAAGCATGTCCATGTGTGCTCACTTCCCTTCTTTTGGTTTTACTGATAATGTCAGATTATTTATTTTCTGTGTTTTCATGTGTTGTTTCCTTAGGTTGCATATTTTTCTAGCACTTTGTGTAAGGCTGTATTTGTAGATAGATATTTTTTAACTTTGACTTTATTATGGAATACCTTATTGTCTTCATTTATAGTGATTAAAATTTTCTGGGGATAGTAATGAGGTCTGGTATCTGTAGTTGCTTATACACTGCAGCACATGTATCCAAGAGTTTTTAGGTTTAGAGACTGCACTGAGAAGATAGGTGTAATTTTGATAGGTCTGCCTTTATATGTTACTTTTTTGTTTATTTGTTTGTATGCCTTAGGCAAATCTCTCCAATTGGAATAGCCCTCCACTTCCAATGTATTATCGGCAAAGAAGAGAACCAGAGTGTACAAGATGAGTTTTGGCCAGTGATTTCTTTGATTTTAATTATAATCTTGTAGTTCTTGTTTAAAAGACTGTGTTATAAATCTGCTGTTATATTTCCTTTCATCAGTGGTGCCATCTATGTTGTGTGAGTTTCTTAATTATCATCTAATCATATTGTTGTTTCTCTTGAAAATAATAGGCACTCACCTTTTTTGTCTTCTGAAAATTCACTACATTATGTGTTTCTTGAGATTTTGTTTGGGAGACTTTCTGTGGAAAAACAGTTTTAGTTTTCTCATCTTGATCCAAAAGGCTTGCCTCTCCTCATTTCTTGGCAAATCTGTATTTTTCAGTTGTTAGAATCATCAGTGTTTGGGTTTTTGGTACTTAAGTTATTGATATGGTTAACACATTGGTTTTTTATTTTTTTTAACTTTTATTAATTACTCTTTATTCACTTTGTATCCCCCCATAAATCCCTCCCTCCTCCCCTCCTCATCCCACTTTCCCTCCCCCTTCTTCATGCATGCCCCTCCCTAAGTCCACTGTTTTGGATTTTTAAAACTTTCTTATATATTATTATCTCTGTGTCTGAATTATCTTCAGCTGTTAACATTTCAGAGCCTACAGTCATTTGAGGGAGCCTCAGATGGCATGTCCCACCAGAATGTCCGGTTGCTATGGGTATGTCTATGAGAGATTGTGTTCACTGATGATTTATATGGGCAGGCTCTTCAACCAAGGGTGGCAATATCCCTAAGCAACTAGGATGATTAAGAGAGGTTGCTGAGCATGAGGCATAACTTAAGAGGTATGGAGTAGAAGATTGTGCCTGTTTTAGGTTGTATCTCCTATTTTTTTCTTTCCACTTTGTATTTTAATTTTAACTAATTGCACTTTATTCACTTTGTATCCCCCATGGCCCCTTCCCTCCTCCCCTTCCAATCTCATCCTCCCACCTCCTTCTCCACATATGCCCCTCCTCAAGTTCACTGATAGGGGAGATCTTCCTCTCCTTCCTTCTGATTCTATTCTATCAAGTCTCATCAGGAGTAGATGTACTGTCTTCCTCTGTGGCCTGGTAAGGTTGTGGTTGGAACTGATCAGTCAGGTTCTTTCTCATGATGTCATAGCTTCATCATTATACACTATCCCTAAATCACATAAGAAACAGTAGAAGCAACTGCTATTTAGTGCTAAGCAATTTTGCTAGCCAGATATTTTTAAATTTCTAATTTTGTTGTTTTTGAATTTGTTTCTGTTTTTGAAGAAAAAGCTTCTATGTGCAGCCCTGGCTGTTCTAAAAGTAGGTATGTGGACCAGGTAGGCCTTAAATTTAAAGATCTACCTGACTCTGACTCCAGAGTACTTGGGACTAGATGGGGACCAACATGCATGGCTTTTGTTTGTTTGTTTTGTTTTGATTTTATATTACTGGGTTTTTGGCCTGGAATGTTGGTTTTTGTACATGTCAAGCATATGCTGTTGTGCTGATCTTCATCTACCTCTTGAATTTTGAAATTTGGTAGAGTATATTCTATTTCTCAGGATGGCTTGTAGTCACGACTCTATTGCTACCTGAGCCTTCTGAGTCATTTGGGTTACAGGTGTGTGACATTCTTCCTACCTATTCTGTTTGTTTGGAATGTTTTTGAATGAATATGAATGTTTTGCCTGTATGCATGAATATGCACCTGATGTATACCTGGTCCTCACAATAGTCAGAAGGTGGCCTTAGAACTCCTGAACTTGGAATAATGGATAGTTGTGAGCCCTTGTGTAAGTACTAGCAGCTGAGCCCAATTATTTGCAAAACTATCAAGAGCTCTTCACTGCTGAGCCATCTGTTCTCCCCTATTTTCTGATCAACACGTACATTGCTAATATTTTCATCTGACCATTTGTAAAATGCATCCCATAAAATTTTATTATGGTTAAAATTTAAACTGAGACACTTCACATTTCTGGAAGATGAGTACATAACTTGAATGAATGTAAAATTCTTTGTAGGAACTTCAGTAAAAATCCTCTGAGATCTTTCTATCTTTTTTGTTTGAATGATTTTTGCAGGGGAGTCATATTTTTTTGCAGGGTACATATGTTTGTCTTAACATGAACCTGTCTGTCAAGGAGTTTGTTCCATAGATCAGGCTGACATCTAACTTTTTGAGACACATCTGCCTTTGCCTCCTGAGTGCTGGATTTAAAGCCATGAGTAGGTCCACTCAGCTTGCCCATCATTTTTTGAAGTTAATTATCATTCATACAATTTCTCTGATGTGTGCTCAGTACTGTTGATTTGTTTGCCTGTTTCTGTCTATATATGTCTGTTAATTGACATTTCTCTTGCAATGCTGTATCCTAATCAAAGGTCACAGCATTGACAAAGGTGACCCTTATTATTCAGTTTCCTTCTAAAATGACTTGGTAGTTACATTAGGACTTCTGTTTCAGGAAATAAGTGGGCGAAGCACCAGAATTATATGAATATACTGTCAATGAAGTACACATTTACAATGCTGTCAGTAGTGTGCTTTCTCTTGAACACATGTATGACATATTTTAGGATTCAGTGACCTATGACGATGTGCATGTGACCTTCACTCAGGAAGAGTGGGCTTTGCTGGATCCTTTCCAGAAGAGTCTCTACATAGATGTGATGCTGGAGACCTGTAGGAACCTCATTGCTGTAGGTAAGACGGTGAATTTTCTTTTGCCTTTTAAAATAAGGGGACAACTGTTTCTTTGTTATTGATGCTTTTTTGTAATTTCAATTGAGACTGAGGAAGAACAGGTGAATAAATCAGACATGGTTCTGAGGTTCACTGAAGATACTAACTTAAATTTTGCCTAATTTCCAATAATATATCATACCTTTTTTGGTACTATATTTTAGGCTACAACTGGGAGGACCATAATATTGAAGAAAATTCTCAAAGTTCTAGAAGATATGGAAGGTAATTTTCATGTGCAAGCTGATATGAATATGCCTCTGAAGAAATTTTAATGGGTCTTGGAAATTTTAAAGAAAAACAACGGTATCAAAAAGCACTTCTTTAAATGTCTTGATGATTATTACATTCTCATAAAACCATGTATCTTAATGTCAGGTTTGTATTTGCAAGACATTCCTCTAAGAACAAAGACAAGAAAACAATGCCTTAACAGATATCAGCATTTAAATCAAGTCCCATTAGAGCTATGCTAAGAACTGCCAATCTTTTTAGTCATACCATTCAGATATTACAAAAGGAATACACATTGAATAGGTTATAAGTATATGTCCAAAGCCTTCTAATAAGCAAATAGTTCATAGTGAAGCTGGTGTTACTTATATATTTATAGTAATGTTTGCTTGTGTAGTGAGCGGGGCAGTTTAAGAGAATCAAGAATGTTGTTGTGGAGAAACCTTAATCCCTATACCTCATTTCTATGAGAAACTAAAGTCAGACTGTGTGAATGCAAAATGTGGAACCCTTTGATTTATTATTTTTTAATAGGTATATTATATGTCATAATGGATACAAGCCATGTGAGCATAGATGTATTGGAAGAAGCAACATAACTCTCTCTCTCAGAACAATTAGAAGATATGTAATAGTCCCCACTCTGAGTAGACTTTCTGAATGTGATACAAGTTTACAATTAATTGGTTTTCCAACTTCATTGGGAATGCATCTGTAAGCTCACAATGCAGGCAATCCATATGAACACTAGAAATGTGGAAATTCTGTTTGTTCTGGTTCACTTTGCAAATACAGTATGACTTACAGTATAGGAAAATTTACTTATGCAGTCAGTGTGATAAATCTCTGAAATTTTCCAGTTCTTTTCAATTATGTTAAAAACCTCATATAGAGAAAGGATTTTATAAATGTGAGCCGTGTAATAAATGCTGTTACCATCACAGGTATATTCAAAGATTAAAAAATCCCATTATGAAGGAAAACATCATAAATGTAAACAAAGTGATAAAACCTTAAGATCTGATGCTTCTTTACAGCTATAGCAAGTTGTAAAAATCAATTCATACAAATAAAAAAGATTCATCAATGTAATGAATGTGATAAAACTTTCATGTGTGTCAATATCTTTGCAGGCATGAAAGAAGCCATGCTGGAGAGAAACCCAATGAAGCTATTCAATATGATGAATCCTTTACATCTCACAGTAGTCTCCAAATAGAGAAAAGAGCACATACTGGAGAGAAACCTTATGAATGTAACCAAGGTGGTAAAGACTTTGCATGTTCTAGTAATCTCCTGATTGATAAAAATGCAAATATTGGAGAGAAACTCTATGAAGATAATCAATGTGGTAAAGCCTCTGCAGATCCTGGTCACCTTAGAAGACATAAAAAAACAAATACTGGAGAGAAACCGTATGAATGTAGTCAATGTGAAAAAGCATTTGCATGTCACAGTAGTCTTTACATACATAAAAGAACACATACTGGAGAGAAACCCTATGAATGTAATCAGTGTGGTAAAGCCTTTGCAGAACATGGTCATCTTAGAAGACATAAAAGGATACATACTGGAGAGAAACCGTATGAATGTAGTCAATGTAATAAAGCATTTGCATGTCACAGTAGTCTCCGAATACATGAAAGAATACATACTGGAGAGAAACCCTATGAATGTAATCAGTGTGGTAAAGCCTTTGCAGATCATGGTCATCTTAGAAGACATAAAAGAACACATACTGGAGAGAAACCATATGAATGTAGTCTGTGTGATAAAGCCTTTTCACAACACGTTTCTCTAAAAATGCATAAAAGAATACATACTGGAGAGAAACCCTATGAATGTAAGCGATGTGGTAAAACCTTTGCACGTCACAGTAGCCTCCAAAGACATGAAAGAACACATACTGGAAAGAAACCCTACAAATGTAAGCAATGTGATAAAGCCTTTTCAGAACACAGTCATCTCAGAATACATGAAAGAACACATACTGGAGAAAAACCCTACAAATGTAATCAGTGTGGCAAAGCATTTGCACGTCACAGTCATCTTCAAAATCATGAAAGAATTCATACTGGAGAGAAACCTTACAAATGTAATCAGTGTGGTAAAGCATTTTCACAACATGGTCATCTCGGAGTACATAAAAAAACACATACTGGAAAGAAGCCTTATGAGTGTAACCAATATGATAAAGCCTTTGCATGTGATGGTCATCTGCCAAGTCATGAAATAATTCATACTGGAGAGAAATCCTACAAATGTAATCAATGTGATAAAGTTTTTTCAAATGAATACATAAGAGAACACATACGGGAGAGAAACCCCTGTGAATAACCAATGTTATTACCTTTGCGTGTAGCAGTAGTGTTAGAAATCATGAGAAAAGTTATACTTCAGAGAAACCTCATAATTTAGTTGGTGTGGTAAGGTTTTGTACTTCATGGTATCTTTACACAGGAGTAAAACTTTTAGTGTGTAATCAATCTGTTAAAGCCTTTGCATATCACAGTAGTCTGAGGACCTGAAATAACTCATACTGAAGGAAATCTATGACTATAAAGGATTTGGTAAGATCGTTAGCAAATACACTTTCAGTCACACAAGAATATTCTGGGGCAAACATCTGCCAAGTGTCAACAGTATAATCATGCATTATGATATCACTCTTTATTTTGTTTGCACTTGCAAACTCCTATGGACAGAAGCCCTAGAAATTATAAGATAATCCTTTTAGATGTCACTATTTTCTTCAGTTACATGAAATACCTAATCCAGGTATATAAAACTTTATTAGTATGTATTAGTGCCTTTTCTGTTGCTGTGATAAAACAATGTTTAGGGGAACTTATGAAAGAATTTAATTTGGCTTATGGTTCCAGAGGAATATGGGATCAATGTGAAAGTGGCCGAACAACAAGTGTCACACAAGGCAGCTAAAGCAGGAAGCTCAGACATCCTCAACCTGAAGCATGAAGCAGAGAGTGGGAGTTAGAAATGGTGTGTGGATGTAAACTCTCAAGCCCATCCTAAGTGACATTTTCTCCTGCATGGCAGCATTTCCTAAATCTTTCCAAATGATACCACCAACTGAGAGAAGGATTGACTTCTCTGATTTTAAGCCTACATGCTTGCTTTCTGAATTGAACCAATTCATGATGAAGAAAAATGCTGTAGGTAAGAAAAAAATACTGTAGGTGACTCAACACCTGAATTTTCAGGAATGAATGCTTACACAAAGAAAACATTCATGAGTACAAATTTGTTTAACAATTTGTTTCAATTTTGATTATGTGATCTCACTGTTTCTTTGTGTGTGTATGTACATGTATGTGCTGGTTCCCAAGAAGATTAGACCCTTGGATCTTCTTGTAGCAGGATTTCAGGAAGTTGTCAAAAAACTGACCTTCCTGGGAATGATCTTGTCTTAACTGCTCAGCCATGTTTCTAACCCTGTAAATATTTTGAAGCCTTTATATAACATCTTGATGTCAGGAAGTAGGAAAGAACTCATACATGAGAAAAGTCCTAGTCATGTAAATGATTTGATACAGACTTTAGACATCTTAGTTGTCTTCAGTTTCAGGAAAAGTCTTGTTTCATCCCGTTTTCATCATAGCCTTAAAGGAAGTAAATTATTTACCATATGCACTTAAGTGTAATGGTGGAGACCAACAATTGTGGTTATGGTTTGTATTTTGAAACATCTTGAGTAGGTACTGAAGTTTGCTGTATGTGTGGCAAATCCATTTACAGAAGTTTATTAGGCTGTCCTGATATTCCTTCTGTGGCTTCTGTTCATCTTCTATTGCACTTTCACTTGTTGATAGGCATTTTTATGCTGCAATGTATAGAATGGGATCCCTGTCACCTAAGTGGTCCGTTGTTTATTCATATATCGGGCAGTGTGTGGCCACACTTTTCAAGTAAGGGTGTCTGTGAATGGGGAGTGGGTAGTTAATTTTTTTTTTTTTTTAGATTTTCACAAAATCCCATGAAGTGTTGTTCTTTGTTATCCAGCCTTGATTGGGTATCAGTAATTAGTCTAGGCTACATTTGACCTTTTGACTTCACATGTCAGCCACCTGAGTACAAGTCTAGTTGTAGAAGCTGTACCCCCAATGTGTCCTGTTTTGTCAACACATTTTAACAATGTTAATGTTAAAATTCTTGATAGAAGATAATATAAGAAATAATAAATACCTCATATGTGTATCCAAAGCAGCATTTTCATCTCTCTTGTAGAGATGCAATGAAGTAGGATAATCAGCAGGTATCTGCATATCTCACAACACAGCTTGAGTGGTATGGATATGTATATATTATTTGATGTTCCATGCTTCTTGTTCCCATTAGTTTCCATTTAGCACTTCATCTTGAACTGCAACAGCAATGGAATTTATTTAAAAAGAAACATTTCTGGTGTGTGTGATGTTATTATGGCCTTTTAGGCCATGACAGTAAGTGGAGATTGGAAGACAACTTTGTGGGGTCTACTCTACCCATATTTATATGATGATCAAGGTTGGGTTGCCATATTTGCACACCACAGACATTTCCCACTTTGCTCTCTCAGTGATACTCAAATAAGATTAGTTGAAACATTAGATCAGTAAAATATTGTCTTCTTTTTAGATTGTAAACATTGTCATCTAAGGATGGAGAAAACAGGACAATTTGAATAATAAATATTTTCTACAAATGAAAATGATATACTGCTATCTTTTTTTGGAATGTGTTAGTTTATACTTAGGAGCAAACACTTGTTCATAACACTTTCTCAGAACCATAAATGAATGACAAAGAATTGTTTCAGTTTGTAAAGTTTGTTGCTGCTAAGCCTCATGACCTGAGTTCAATGTCTGGGAGACCCATATTACTCCTACACACAAACACAGTTCAAACATTTTCAAATAAATGAAATTAACAAAGCAAAGAAAATAACCCAACCATTGAGAACATATGAAATGACTTGCTAGTTTAAATATTATCGTTGAATTTCAAGAAGTATTACTGTTCATCTTTTTAAATCTTATTATTTTCTGATTCAAAGATAGGTCATTTAAAAAACATATCTCAGCTGTTCTTAGAGGTGCATTCCTGTAATCCAAGCACCTGGGAGACAGTGGCAGGCCAATAGCTCAGATTTTGTGGTCAGCTTGGCCCACTTATTAAGTTCTAAGACATCTGTGGCTTTCGTTAATACCCTGTCTCAAAAGGATTCTAAAAAGAGAGTATATTGTTAGGATGGATTTTTTTCACCTTCCCACTAAAGAAGATGTGCCTGCTAACAACAGTGCTCCAAAGTGTGTGTCATTTGTTAACTGCTTTTCTCCCAGAATTGCCTCATACCTACCGGGGAAAAAGCTGCAGTTTACCTGAACCCACCATGAAGCCATAAAACAAAAATCTTGTTTTCTAAATACTGTTAATATTCTGGTCCCTCTTCCACTTGTGGAACAGATTGATAACACCATTGCAATTTGACTAATGGGCTATGCAAGCTATCCACGTTTATATCAGGGGGAAGAAGGGGAAGTGCCTATTTAGTGCTTTGAAGGGGGCTCAGACAAGCTCTGAAGTCTCAAGGAGGTAAGTGTGGGGTCACTGCCCACTAAGGGAAGGAACAGGCTGCTGAGCAGCGGGAGCTGCAGAGGTGGGTCCTGCCTGAGGCTGAGTGGGAAGACAGATTAGTAAACTGTTGGAAGACAGGCACAAGTGCTACTGAAATGCAAATCTCTGTGTGTCTGGAAAAGATCTGGCCCTGGAATGCAAGCCTAGGCCAGGAACTATTTTTGCTGTGTCTGTTTAGCACACTCTAAGGCAGATGCTCCTGTTTCTTGTTTTTTTCCTTCTTCCGATATCCATCCCATTTGTCTTTCTAAGTGAGGATTGATCCTCTTACCCCAGGACCTCCTTGTTTAGCTTCTTAGTATGTTTATCCTATCTTATAGGTCTGGTATCCACTTATAAGTGAATATATACCATGTGTGTTTTTCTGCTTCTGGGATACCTCACTCAGGATGATCTTTTCTAGATCCCAACATTTGCCTACAAATTTCATGATTTGCTTTGAAAGACTCTACCTAGCAGTGTATCAAAGCAGATGCTGAGACTCATAACCAAACCTTGGGCAGAGTGCAGGGAATCATATGAAAGAAGGGGGAGTTAGTAAGATCTGGAGAGGACAGGAGCTCCACAAGGACCAAATGTATCTGAGCACAGGTGTCTTTTCTGAGACTGATTCTCCAACCAAGGACCATTCATAGATATAATCTAGAACCCCTGTTCGGATGTAGCCCATGGCAGCTCAGTATCCAAGTGAGTTCCCTAGTAAGGGAATAGGGACTGTCTCTGACATGAATTCAGTGGCTGGCTCTTTGAGCACCCCACAACCACCACCACCACCAAGGGAGAAGCAGCCTTGTCTGGCCACAGAGGAGGACATTGCAGCCAGTCCTGATGAGACCTGATAAGCTATGGTCAGATGGAAGGGGAAGAGGACCTCCCCTATCAGTTGACTTAGAGAGGGGCAGGGAGGAGATGAGGAAAGGAGGGTGAGAGTGGGAAGGAATGAGGGAGGGGGCTACAGCTGGGCTGCAAAGCGAATAAAATGTAATTAATGTAAAAAAATAAAAAATTTAATAAAAAATATTTAAAAAAAATCACTGGCCAGTCAGAGCCTCCATGTGGACCTACCTGTCGGAGAAGTATTCTAGGTGCCATGGTGCAGGTTCAGCTTCCTTGCTGAGCAAGTTTGAATGCTTTTGTGTGACCTAAACTGAGCTCTGCTGCTGGGTATTGTGAGGGGAGCTCAGACAATCTTCTAAGTGGCGATTTGGTGAGTACCAAGTCACTGCCCACAACTGCAGGCAGCTAAGCAGTGGGAGCTGGTGTTGTGGGTTGTCCCTGGGGCTGGGTGTTAAGCGGCGGCCAGATGTGAGGCCCAGTCAGTCCCTAGACCCGGCGGTGGGCTCTGCATAACTTCACTATGGGGACTGCATCTGTTCAAAGCATTTGGAGCAGGGGCTAGTGTGTAGAAACATCCTTGGCAGGATGCCAAACTCAGAGAGCCTTAGTTTCTCTTAGTATCTTCTACGAATTCTGACCTTAACATTTAACATTTAGGTGTAAGATCCATTTGGAGTTGATTTTGTGGAGGCTGTAAAAGGCATCTTATGTGTTGGGTAGCACTCTAATGCTAAGCTGTGATGTAGAATAGATGATGTAAAGCATTTACCAATGCTTAGGAAATAGTAAGTGACACCACATAGAATGTAGCTGAGGGAGGACGGCCACTAAAACACCCAACAAGTAAGTGGTATGCTATCCAGGCCTGTTAGAGATTAGGATGCTTAGGTACACATGTTTGTTCACCAGGATTGTGCAGATATTTGGCTCCAAATCATAACAAAGGACACAACTGATTTACAACCAGCCACTATGCTCCTCCTCATATCAAAGAACAGGCCTCTAACAAGCTGCTCAAGGGGCCATTTCAGGGTCACAACCAACATTAAGGCCTGGTGTGCCATAAAGTTGTTACACTTTCTTTTAGTCTTCTGATGTAATTGTCCTCTCAGAGGCTTACTGCCTCCATCTGCTAACCTAGGCCTCGTCCTGGTAACTCCTGGCCTCCATATTGTCTAATCTAGGCCTAGAATGTTTTCAGCTTCTGAGACTTAGTGATGAATAAGCTCAGCCTTTCTAGTTCTATCTTAACTCTTGTTGGCTAGTTCAACTCAGCTATTCTGGCTCAAACTCCTCTCTAAGGTGACTGATTTAGTCTGTCTTTTCTCAATTTCTGACTGAATTGCTCCACTTTGCCTTATACTAACTTTGGCAATATGTTCTAATTGCCTGACTCCTTTTCATTCTCTGGCTTGTTCTGTCTTTACCTGTGTCTGGTTTGTTTTCTTTTTAACCTATTTCTGTAAAACTCTCCTGGGAAAACTGTCTCTGAAGTCCACAAACTCAACTTCACTGCCTCTCAGCTCACTTACTCAGTGGAACTGCCTGAACAGTACTGATGAGAACTCAAAAGATCTGCATGCTCCTGTCTCTTGAGTGCTATGATTAAAGGCATGTACCACCATGCCTGGACCTAAGCTTTTCTTTACATGAAAGTTGCTCTATTCAAGGCTGGTCTTATACTCAGAGATCTACTTGCCTCTGTCTCCTAGGATTAAAGGTGTGTCTGCACATGAACTCAGTGGCTGGCTCTTTGATCACCTCCCCCTGAGGAGTGGGGCAGCCTTACCAGGTCACAGAGGAAGACAATGCAACCAGTCCTGATGAGACCTGATAGGGCAGGGTCAGAGGGAAGGGGAGGAGGACCTCACCATCAGTAGACTTGGAGAGGGGCATGGGAGAAGATGAGGGAGGGAGGGATTGGGAGGGGGAGGAGGGGGCTACAGCTGGGATACAAAATGAATAAATTGTAATAAATAAATTAATTAATTAAAATGTGTGTCTGTATTCCAGTCAGACCACACAGATCTAGAAGGCTTTTGGATGTGATTTCTTGCCAGAGCTGCCATGTTCTGATTTAAAATTCCTCTGCATAAAGGTACTGTTTTCTTTTTGATAAAAGCATAGTTTTGCCACATGGGCAAGCCTACACCAGTTGACAACTTTTTGAAAAGGAAAAATATGATTTTATTGAGGGCTGGTCTGATTAAGCAGACTTTCTATGAGGCTCCCACATAGGGAGAATGACAGCTCCTTCTGAAACCGAGGAAGGTGCTTGGCAGAGCCAGTAACAGCCTAAATCCTAGGCTTTGAGAGCTTTTCCGAAAGCAGAGCTCCTTCTCTAAAGCCATAAATATGTTTGGGAGAGCTGTCTAGGGCCAAGGCCATTGGGGTTGGGTTGGTTCAGATGTTGATTGCCCAGCTCTACCCACCACGTGGGGCTGTGGCTATCAACCAAGTCTACTGTAGGCTTAGGCAGTAATGTTCTTGAGATACTCTGTGTTCCCCTTGTGTGCAGCATTGTTTTATTAGAATTTTCCTGAGTTTGTCTCTTTCTATGATAGTTTCTATTGATTTCACAGATATCTACCATTTTCTTCCATTTTCCTCTGGAAATAGCATATAAATGCTATGCTTAAGAAGCTTACTTGGCATAAAACATAGATTGTGGAAGACCTCCCCACCACAACTCTAATATTTTTCCACTGTCTGCTTTTTCTATCTTCTCCTCTTCTGGCACACCTACTTCAGGACTTTGTCACTGAAGATTAATCTGCTGTTTGAGAGCACTGGTGAACTTCAGAAATAATTCTGGGTATATCTTTGCTGTGTAAATATCCCATCTGTGTAAGTGGCTAAACTTACAGTCGCCAGTCAATATTTAAATTATTCAAAACGTAACATGGGGCCTGAATGTAAAAGTGACTTAAGGGTGACAGCACATGTAGAATGCAAAATCTGTTCTCAGCTGCCTCCACTTTAAGCATTATCTGTTGCTGAATACATGCTGTTATTAAAACAATTTTTCTTAATTAATCTTTTAATTGTGTGTCAAGTGATTTCTCCCTAGGAAGGGGTATTAATTCTAGAAGAGCTGAATCTTCATTTTTTTATAAAATAATGTTTCTGAGACAAGCTGTGTTGACTCAGGTCACCTTGATCCCAGTCTATTGCTCCCCAGGGCAAAGGCCTTGATTTCCTCTTGATTAAATTCTCTTTTTTTAATTTATTTTTTAT